TTGATATAATGAGTTACACAAGTTTGAAGGCAGCATAAGCCAAAAGATAAGAGATAACAGAGTGATGGCTGAAGAGTCGTCATCATAAAACACAGAGTGCTTGCAAACTCATTGTGTGGAAGGCGGGGCGGGTCAGGTGCTGGCTGCGAGGGCCCGGGGCCGGGAGCAGGCTTCAGTGAGCGGGCGTCGTGCCCTTTGTAAGGAGGCCGCGCTGCCCTGCTCCCCTTGCCTGTTCACACGCGAGACGATGGGCCATGTATTTCCACGTCTTGAGCTTTTCAAGAGAAGCCAGGAATCCACATATCAGTGGGAAATCTACTAGTTCGTAAAAATGAACTTAAAAGTCGACCAATCAATATATCTGGGAGCAGGATTTGACTATCAGATGGCCAGCTGGTCTCCTGTCTTACACAAACTTGAGAAGACCAGCGAGGCTCCAGTGGGAAAATGAGCCAAGGACATAAATGTACCACTGCCCCCAAGAAATACCACCAGAAACAAATATGAAAAGAGTGGCAATCTCAGTGGTAATTAAGGAAACATAAAATGATAAAATACAATTTTATACCTCTCAAGCTAGAAAATAATAAAACTGTCAACTAGTGCATCTGGGTTGTGGGGTAGCAGGTGTAATTATTATAAATTTGTAATCCTTTTATAGGACAGCTTAACAGGAACCATAAAAATAAACTTGTCTTTTGATTTCAGAGCTACTTTTGGGAATTTATTCTTACAAAGAATTCAAAAGAAGAAAAAGTAATAAGTTGTCAGTTTTTTTATAACCATTTATAGAAAAGTGGTGAAAAATTAGAAACAACCCAAAAGTTTTTTGTAGGAATTTTATCAATATATGATGCATACATGCAATTAAGAATAATAAATCAGATGGCTAGACTCATGGAAATGTTTATAAAACCTTTGTATGAAAAAATTATACACAGTTGTACTTTTTATGGTTATACTCCGTATCAACTACAAACGTATATGTGGATAAATTCTGAAATTTAATACTCTATGGAAATAATCGCTCCATTAGTGTGGTAGCATAAATGAAATGTGTAAATAAAGAAAAATGGTACTTATCAAAGTTATTTACTGTTTGAAAAATAGACTCTTTAAGGAGTATTTGTAAAAGTTACAGAATTTTTTAAAATGTATTAGATTTGCTACTACTTTAGAAATTATAATTACATTTTTTTTAATGCCTTTACAATCAGTGTTCTTTGCTCTCAACTTTCCTATTTAGTTTTCACGTTTAAAGTTGTGGTGTCATTACATTGGCCTCTGGGGATGTTTGCTATCCGACTTGCTTTCTGCTCTTTAGTACTTCCCACTCTTTTGCTTGAACTTGATAGAACCTACATAGGACAAGGAAATGGCAATGCACTCTAGTACTCTTTCCTGGAAAGTCCCATGGGAGGAGCCTGGTAGGCTACAGTCCATGGGGTCGTAAAGAGTCGGACTCGACTGAGCAACTTTACTTACTTCTGCTGGCCTCTCCTGTTTCATAGACTGATCTTTGTGAAGAGATGTCTGACATGCTCAGCATCAGGTGACTTGTTTCCTTGCAGCCATGTCCGGAAGCAGCAGCCGTAGCCCCCTGGCAGGAGTGGCCGTGAAATCTCCGAGTCAGAGCCTCCGCCTCGGCCTGTCCCGCTTAGCACGGGTTAAACCTCTGCATCCAAACTCCACCAGTAGCTGCGTGTAGCCACAGGAAGATATTTGATTAAGAAGCTCTCATTCATATTAGTGGGTTTATATTTGAGGAGGGAATTGTAATATAAAGGAATCCTTCAATGTCATGTAAATTATCCCTACCTGTTTTGTGACTATTCTCTGCAAAGCTTCCTGAGACTTCAGCAAGAGTTTTGTTTATGTGAATTCTCTTGGAATGTCCTTTCCTTCTGAAGAGCATATTCTTCCCCCTCAGTGGATATAAGCGGTCACTATCATCACTGTGTCAGTGTGACATGGAGGAGGTCCACATTACTCGCCGCTCATTGCCAGTAACAGGATGCTGCTTCCTGCCTTTGTCGAGTTGATGGTACCTGAACGTCGTGTGCAGAGTTTATCTCAAAAGAGGAAGATTCCCACTTCTCCCAGGGATGTTTCTACACTGACAACTACTCTGTCAGTTTTATTGCCACGATGTTTCATACTTTAGCCAAATGTTTTTATAATAAGAATTCAGAATTATTTTCCACATTAAAGCAGTTGCTGTACTATAGTGTATGTCTCCTACCTAGAAGTATTACTAGATGGTTATGTTATAGCAAATAAAATTTCGTGACATTTCATGAAGGCTTCATTGTCAAAACCTTTGATAAAAGTGGAAAAGTTTTGATATGCACTTTCCCTTGATACCATTGCATCCGTCTGTCTCTATCTACATTTCATGATAAGTGCTCTACAAAAGAAAAAGAAAGTTATTCTTTTTGTTGTAAATAGAAAGAGGAAGAGCTCTTTCTTAAAGTCATCACTGTACGTGAAGCCCATGTTTTAGCAGGTGGCTATCAAGGTTGTCATCCCTGTTGTATTAGCATAGCTCTTCAGGAAGCTTAGATATGTGTTCACTGTGAATAAAATAATAATAGATGTTTTTTTACTTACAGTGAAAATTTCAACCAGCTCCTGATCACTTTTTAATAAAAATTCTCTGAATTTTAACCATTAAAAATGTATATAATACCTAGTTCTTGGTTTATGAAATATGTTAATGTGAAAATAAGTAATTCACACTTATGATTAAAGTGAACATTTGCCTACTGCTGCTGTGTATATTTTTTCTTGTCTGGTATAAATTTTATACTGTGGTGCATCCCCAACCCACCCCACCTGGCTGGAAGCATGCTTTCCAGGAACATGGGGTTGAGGGACTCTGTATGCTGCAGTTTAACAATAAACACTAAGAGCTATACTGTGTTAGTGCTGATGTCATTGATTAATCACCTGGGCCAGCTTGATGACCCTGTTATCTCTGTGTGTGGTATTAACCTACCTATTGAAAATTACCTTAAAGTGTGTCCAGACTGGCTTTGCAGAAAACACTCATGATCGTTCTGGTGTCAAACCCAGGGTACATTTTCTCACCATCTTACAGACGCTGCTCATCGGACCCTGCTTAACACGCTTTATTTCCTGGGCCATAGCACACCACTCGTGTACTTTTCTCCCCGCCTACTCATTGCTTTGTGGCTTGCTAATGTTCAGTGTCTCCCACACCCACTGCTCTCACCACCCTATCATATTTTGTGTGAGTCCATTCTTTCCCTGGTGGCTCAGATGGTAAAGAGTCTGCCTGCAATGCCGGAGACCTGGGTTCGATCCCTGGGTTGGGAAGATCCCCTGGAGAAGGAAATGGCAACCCACTCCAGTATTCCTGCCTGGAAAATCCCATGGACATAGGAGCCTGGTAAGCTCCATGGGGTCGAAAAGAGTTGGACGTGACTGAGCGACTTCACTAAAAGTTTGGTGTCACCCACACCCACAGCTCTCACCACCCTATCATATTCCATGTGAGTTCATTCTTTTCCCCCTGCTCCTTTTTTCTTTCAAAACGTGAGTAACTTCAAGTTGCCACGGTCACCTAGGTGACAGTGCTGCCAGTCAGGCTCTTCAGCCCAGAACTTGCTCTTGATGCAGCTGTGTTGCCTGGCCCCTTGATCATACGTCATCACTAAATCGGTGACATCCCCCCAACCCAGGCATCTTCCCTCTGTAGTTCCTATTAGTAAACAGCATCACCATCAGGCAGCTGAGGGACCTGGGGCACTTGCTCCCTGCACATCCCATACGGTCAGTGAGCTCTTGTCTATTTCCTGCCCTGTCTTTCCAGGTGCCGCTCTTTCTCTGACACTCCCATCACTTACTGCTTCTAAGGGGCATCCTTGCCTTGATGAGCAAGCTGCTCTGTCTTCCTTTCAACCCATTAGAGCCAGAGGCAGTTTCCTAAAACAAAATCTGAGAACACCCGTCTGCTTAAAACCCGCACACACTCCTCAACCTGTTTAGTTCACAAGCTATTTAGAATCAGGCTGGCTCCTTGTCCCCTTCGTCAGCCTTGTCCCCTGCTACCCATGTGTACCTTTGACCGTTGCCACACCACACTGGGTGCTGGCACCTGAGGCTCTGGGTTTTCAAATGATTCTATTTGCCTTTTTCCCGTTGCTAATTCCTTCTTGTGCTAGAAGACCCACACCCACCTCGGCTGTTTCAGAAAGCTTTATTTGAATGTCTGTTTCCTCCATGGACCACATTGTATGTCTCTAGGTAACTGCTGTCATTCAACTATTTCGTTTTCCTGCTTTTAAAAGCTGGTGCAGAGTAAGTGCACAAAAAAATGTTCCTCTGACGAATAAATCCTATCCAGAACCTTTACTGGGTGCTGATAACCCCGGGTTTTGCCTTTAAGGAAGAGTCTTGCACAGATAACTTGACTAGATGACATTTGTATCAGTTTAGGAGCTTTTTTCTTCCCTGGTGGCTCAGAGGCAAAGCCTCTGCCTCCAATGCGGGAGACCTAGGTTTGATCCGTGGGTCAGGAAGATCCCCTGGAGAAGGGAATGGCAACCCACTCCAGTACTCTTGCCTGGAAAATTCTGTGGGCTACAATACATGGGGTCGCAGAGCCGGACACGACTGAAAGACTTCACTTTCACTTTCTGATAACCCCACACTTTTGTGAAGGGGGAGAGGGTGAGGGGTCGCTTCATGAGCCTGTTGCAACAACTGGAATCTCTCTAACCTCAGAATGTCCTTCAATTCTTGTCCCAAACTTTAAAGACCGGAGGCAAGAGGACAGGAGCAGGAGGAAAAGAGCTGTCTCTCTCGGCTGAGGTGAAAGGTGGTTTGGGACCAGCCCAGAGCCCCAGCCTTTCAGCTCAGGAGTCACAAAAAGGGCGGAAACAGTTTCTATAGCGACGGGAGCAGGGTGTGGCCCTCCGCCGGCGCTCGCGGCTACGGGTCCCCAACCGGCAGCTCCCGCAGTCTGCGCAGGCCCGATGCAGCTCCTCCCGTCTCCCTCCCACAACGGCACCAAGTAAGGGGCGGGGCGGGGCGGGGGGACACGTGGGGGCCACGGGGGCGGAAGGTGGGGCGCGCGAGAGTGACTGGATGCAGGAAAAGAGAAGGGCTGCGGGTCGGAGGAGAAAAAGGCAGGTGTGAATGCGGGGAGGAGGCAGGTACTATTTCAGATTTCGCTCCGAGTCCAGCTGCAACCTCAGAACCCAACATCCGTGTATTTAGGATTAGTTTTATTTTCAGATCATAATATCAAAGTATGGCCCCATTATCTCCTTGATGACAAAATACTCAAATGATAGGCATGTCTCTAAGAAGCATGGATCATCATTGCTGAGTGTAGTACCTATACATAACCCTTCTCTGACATGTATTTCCTTTTTTTTTTTTTTACTTTTTATTTTGTATTGGGGGCTTCCCTGGTAGCTCAGCCAGTAAAGAATCTGCCTGCAATGCAGGAGACCCAAGTTTGATTCCCGGGGTTGGGAAGATCCCCTGGAGAAGGGGTAGGCTACTCACTGCAGTATTCCTGGGTTTCCCTGGTGGCTCAGTTGGTAAAGAGTCCGCCTGCAGTGTGGGACACCTGGGTATAGCCAGCTAACAAACAATGTTGTGATAGTTCCAGGTGAACAAGGAAGGGACCCAGCCATACATACACATGTATCCATTCTCACCCAAACTCCCCTCCCATCCAGGCTGCCACATAACACTGAGCAGAGTTCTCTGTGCTGTATAATAGATCCTTGTTGGTTATCAATTTTAAATTTAGCCGTGTGTACCTCTGACATGTATTTCTTAAGCTAAAAACCTTAAATGTGCACTATTTTAATTGCTTCCTTACAGAATTCCTAACTTTTGTATAATGCTCTTTGAAAGTCTCATTAACTTCTCCTAAAAGTTTTGGGTGTGAGGAGAGTAGAATTTTTATTTCAATTTTCTTGTTGAGAAAAGCCAAGTGACTTGCCCAAGGCTTCCTGATTATCAACTGCTTTCTTCTGATTGGAGCTTCTCCCCTTGGCCCAGGTGTGTAGCTTTATAAATATGCACCCCCACAGCCCTAGACAATATGTTATACTTTTCCATTAAGATAATGTTGCATCACTGGCTTGGACTGAGTGCAGGATGGGGAAAGGTGGGTTTTAGAGAACTCATAAGACCTACTGGACATGCTTCCAGCCCTGACCCCAACAACTTGGGGCCCAGAGCTTTCTTCTCCCATTCTTTTCTTTTTTTAAAAAAAATTTCATTGGCGTATAGTTGCTTTACAGTGTCGCATTACTTTCTGCTGCGCTGCAAAGTGAGTCAGCCACATGTATACATATGTTCCCTCTCCCCTGGATTTCCTTCCCATCCAGGTCGCCACGGAGCCCCGAGTCGAGTTCCCTGTGCTACACAGTAGGTTCTCGTCAGTTACCTGTTACTACCAATGGTGTACACGTGTCCGTCCCAATCTCCCAGCTCATCCCACCCTTCTCTTCTCCCTGGTATGCGTGTTTGTTCTCTACATCTGCATCTCTGTTTCTGCTTTGCAGTTAGGTTCATCTGTACCATTTTCCTCAATTCCACATACATGTTACTATACAATATTTGTTTTTCTCTTTCTGACTTACTTCACTGTGTGACAGTCTCCAGGTCTGCTCACGTTTCTGCAAATGGCACCGTTTCATTCCTTTTCGTGGCTGAGTAATATTCCACTCTCTATATATGCCACGTCCTCTTTATCTGTTCATCTGTTGGTGGACATTTAGGTTGGTTCCCTGTCTTGGCTATTGTAAATAGCACTGCAGTGAATGATCATTGGGGGCATCTATCTTTTGGAATTATGGTTTTCAATAGGCAAATGCCCAGGAGTGGGATTGCTGGATCATGTGGTAGTTCTGTTTTTAGTTTTTTAAGGAATCTTCACACTGTTCTCCATAGTAGCTGCATCAATTTACATCCCCCCCCAAAATGTAGGAGGGTTCCTTCTTCACACCCTTTCCAGCCTTTATTGTTTGTAGATTTTTTTCCCCCAGTTTTATTTATTTATTTTTTTACTTTACAATATTGTATTGGTTTGCCATACATTGACATGAATCTGCCATGGATGTACGTGTGCTCATCCTGATCCCCCCTCCCAGCTACCTCCCCATCCCATCCCTCTGGGTCATCCCAGTGCACCAGCCCTGAGCACCCTGTATCATGCATCGATTTTTGATGATGTCCATTCTGATCAGGGTGAGGTGATATCTCATTTTAGTTTTGATTTGCATTTCTCTAATAATTAGCAGTGTTGAGCATTTTTTTGTGTGTCTCTTGGCCATCTGTATGTCTTATTTTGGAGAAATATCTATTTAGGTCTTACACTCATTTTTGATTGGGTGCTTTGTTTATTTGATACTGAGCTGTGTGAACTGCTCCCTTTCTTGTCTTCACTGCACATCTCATCTGACTTGGTCATAAAAAGTGCGTCCATGACCCCACTGCTCATGTCCAGGGATCTCTGGCTGATACCCACCTCTTCTGAGCAGCCCACGTGCTTGCCGTCCATTCCAAGCCACACTGTCCTATTAGTGGACACCTGCCACTCAGGGGTGATTCCCAGGCTTAGCAAAGTTTTTTCTTATAAGGAGATGAACAGTGCAAAATTTGGAATTTTTTAAAGTCTGTAGTTAACTTGTGATATTGGAAATGTTCTATCAGCCAATTCAGGGCTTAAGTAACCTGTGGCCTTTCTGACCTGTTTTGGATGACTGATGATCAACAATGTTATTAACTCAGGTTTCACTGTTCAGGCTTAAATGGAGACTTGGCAAAAGTGTGAGGCTGTTTAAACAGGAAGTCCAGACTACAAAAGAACAGTGGTCTTGCTTGAGGGATTTAATTGTCTACATGTAGGTACATAAAATCTAGGTGTTCTAAGGAATTCTCCAAACATGGACTCTGCTAAATTGGTTCTGAGACTTAAGTCTGTTAGTTCCCTTCTCTGTTTTGGGCTTTATCAAAGAGAATGATGACAAATGTGAAGGGATTCTGGTATGCCAGCCACTTTTCAACTGCTATTGTTGTCAGCACCTGAACTGTAATGCATACTTCTCAGTGTGTGGAGAACCAGTGCTGACCACAGACCCAACATGAATGTGTTGTAACAGCTGAAAAGAACCAGTACTGGTTTTGTCTGCTTTAATTGAAGATCAGTGACCATGTTGATACATGGCAGAAACCAGCACAATGTTGTAAAATGATTATCCCCCAATTAAAAAGAAAAATGAAAAGATCAGTGACCAGGTGAGGGATGCAAAATTCTTGCTGCCTAACAGAGTGTTGATTAGAAGAGAATTTTAATTCCAGCAAAGTGTAGTAATTCCAGAAAACCTCCTTTTTAAGGGAGGTCATTTTTAGTCCAGACTTTCTCCATCCTGCCTGGATGCTCTATCAAATGAGGAGGGATTTGATATAAAAGCACAGATGCATGAAGATGAGCAGGTGTTGGGGAAGCAAAAAGCCACTCTTTTGAATATTTAAGAACTCTTGAGTAGAAGAGGTGCTCTTTGTAGCTCTGCAGAGGAGAACAGGTGTCAGCAGAGAAGAACAGGTGTCAATGAAGAACAGGTGTCAGTGGAGGAGAACAGGTGTCAACAGAGGAGAACAGGTGTCAGCGGAGAAGAACAGGTATCAGCGGAGGGGAACAGGTGTCAGCAGAGGAGAACAGGTGTCAGCGGAGGGGAACAGGTGTCAGCGGAGGGGAACAGGTGTCAGAGGAGGAGAACAGGTGTCAGCGGAGGAGAACAGGTGTCAGTGGAGGAGAACAGGTGTCAGCGGAGGAGAACAGGTGTCAGCGGAGGGGAACAGGTGTCAGCGGAGGAGAACAGGTGTCAGCAGAGAACAGGTGTCAGCAGAGGGGAAAAGGTGTCAGCAGAGAACAGGTGTCAGCAGAGGAGGTGTCAGCGGAGGATGCTGTTCAAGAACATTTTCTCCAACCGACATTGATGTAGGTCCAACCATGTGAAGGTTAACAGCTGGATGTGAAATGGGTTGCCTGGGAAAACAGTGAGTTCTGTCTCAGAAATGTTCAAGCAGAGATGAGCAGTTACTTGGAATCCTCTTGAGAAGGTTATTCACACCAGCGGTGGGATGAGGTGGGGAGATAGCTTCTAAAAATTCTTCCAGCTCTTAAGCATCTGTAAATCTGTGAACCGTGGAAAGTATCAGGGAGAACTGCATAGAGTCTGAGGAGTTCTCTTTGGCAAAAGAAGTGTGTTAAATACACCATCTCCTGTTTATAGAACTGTAAGGGGGGGTCCCTACAAGTTGTATCTTGCCACAGTCTCTGCCCTGAATGTGGTCCCCGGGCATAAAGATCTACTGCAGTAGAAATCCTGAAATTACAACAGATGAATCTCAAAAGACACATTTCCTTTCTGGGCTTTGAAGTTCGGTCTAGATAGATAATGGCTTCCCTGGTGGCTCAGTGGTAAACAACCTGCCTGCTAATGCAGGAGACAAGGGTTTGATCCCTGGATCAGGAATATCCTCTGGAGAAGGGAATGGCAACCCACTCTAGTATTCTTGTCTGGGAAATTCCATGGACAGAGGAGCCTGGTGGGGTCGGAAAGAGTTGGACAGGACTGAGTGATTAACACTTCCACTTTCATACATAGAGGAAACATTACGTATGAGATTGTTATGCTTGCAATAATGCGGTGCCACTGTTTACAATCTGTCTTTCCCACCAGTTTTTGAACTCTTGAAAGCAAGGATTCTGGTTTATTATATGTGATTCTCCTATGCTTGGCACAGTACCTGGCACACGGCAATCTGAATATTTCAGATGAATTAACCTAAACTGTTTTAGATGTCTCTCCTTTCAGCAAATTTGTACCAAGAGATTTCAAATGCAAGCTGCTGTCCTTGTCCCCATGAAAAATATAAAACATAAAATAAAATATAAATTCACCATTCCTGTCTCCAGGAGATTGACAAGATACAAACAGACACATATAAATGGCAACCGACTCCAGTGTTCTTGCCTGGAGAATCCCATGGACAGAGGAGCCTGGCGGGCTATGGTCCATAAGAACGCAAAGAGTCAGACACAACTGAATCGACTTAGTACTAACACAGGATAATTAACACTAACGCTGTTGACCAAGTGACAAAATCATCTCTAGATGAAAGTTTTTAAATCCAGAGGAAGGAGATAGCAATGGGCTGTAGAAGCAGGAAAACTCTGATCTATGAAAAATAATAGGAACTTAAAATGTCCATTCTCAAAGCAGTATTCCTCTGAATAACTTCACAGTCATGACGCTGGCACCACTTATTAGCGTGTCCCCAAGAGCTCATTCCCTGGTGGCTCACATGTAATGAAACTGCCTGCAACTTGGGAGACCCAGGTTCGATCTCTGAGTTGGGAAGATCCCCGGGAGAAGGAAATGGCAACCCACTCCAGGATTCTTGCCTGGAGAACTCTGTGGATAGGGGAGCCTGGTGGGCTGCAGTCCATGGGGTCACAAAAAGTTGGACATGACTGAGTGACTAACACTTCACTTCAGGAACTTATGGCTAGAGTGACTTGCAGAAGTTGTGATAGCATTTGCTTTGGTGCCTGGTCTGCCCCTATTTTGTGGACTCTTAACTCCCTGGGCTCTTGCTAGAGTGAGGGGCTGAAAAGGGGGCTTCCAAGAGATGGAGTGGAGTCTCAGCGGAGGTCTGCTGACATCACGGGAGATTGACAGTGTCATGAGACCCCTTTAAGACTCAATCATCCATTTCCTCAAGTCACCACTTCAGCTGGAGCCCATAAACTTATGGCAGTTAGGTTTTCATCTTGCCGTGAGTTAATTATTAAGGGAATTGTGCTCAGAAGGAAGAAGGTGAAAATGTGACCCAGTGAAATTCAGAAGAAGCGTGGACCACTTAAGCTACTAAGTGACCGTGAATAGGTCCATATTTTAGGGGGAAAGATGCTGGTGGCAGGAGAATGGTTTACTCTGCAGTCAGCAGATGGAGGTGGGGCTTTTTGCTTGATGTCCTGAGTTGCTAACAACCTCCTTCCTAGCTCCTGGTCCTGACTTGGCTCTGGTCTCCTTCTGCCATGAGCACGTAAGGACCGATACCCAGCGTCCACGTAGGCCACCAGAAGGAAGACAAGAGGGACAGTGGCGCCTCAACCATAGTTAGACCCGCCACCTTCTCTTCTCCAAGGCTGCCCGGCATTCTTCCCATCCTGGGGTTGAGGACCATTACTTGTACCGTCAGTCCCCTACATACAAATGAGTTGCCTTCCGACAGCGCGTTCGCTAAGTCCAACCTATTTGTAAGTCCAGCAAAGTGAGCCTAGGCACCCAGCTAACACAGTCAGTTGTATAGTACTGCACTGCAATAGCTTTATGATATTTTCATACAAATAACACATAAAAAAACAAAAAATAAATAAAACATTTCTAAGCTTACAGTACAGTGCCTTGAAAAGTACAATAGGACAGCACAACAGCCGGCACACAGACGCTGGCATCGAGTGGCCCGGCAAGGAGAGTTAAGGACTGGAGGAGGGGGAGGAGGTGGGAGGCGGTGGAGCTGAAGGATGGTCAACAACAGGAGATGGAGGGCAAGCTGCCAGCTCACTCACGCCTGATGTTGACGGCACAGCTTCTGGTTCCTTGCCGGATTCAATTCTATTGCCCCTCTTGGAAAAATGATCCAGTGATATCTGGGAAGTAGCTCTTTTCTTCTCATCAAAGATGATGCGGTAGCACTGGACTTTGTTCGAACGGCTGCTGCAATCTTCGTGCCCTGTTCTATCTACATTCAGGTCCTAAGCCCCAAAAAGCTAACAGTGCCTCCTGAAATAAAGAAAGTCCCCTTGTCATCTTCTGCGTCGTGGATCTCTTCTCTTCTTCAGTTTGTTCATCTTCCTCTTGTCTATGTCCTTCTCTGGGCCTCCAATTCCATCAGGTCTTCATTAGTAAGGCTCTCATGTCTCATAGCAATAATCCTGTAAGGTAAAGTACACAAAAGCACACGCAACTTTAGAGGATGCATGCGTGTGACAATGGACACCAGACACGTGAACTAACTTACGTGATTGGACTTGCAAACGCACGTTTGCATCTTTGAAAATTCGAAACTTGAAGGTTCGCGTGTAGGAGACTTGCTGTGTTTTACTTCTAATACCAGTCTATCTTTTTCTCTTCTTCTGCAGGACTGAAATGGATGCTAAAAAGCCAAGGAAAGGCAGTTTGACATCCTTCCCGATTTTGAAAGCAACAAAGAAACAAAATCTCACCTCTGTGAAGGTAAGGACCTTTGCATTTCATTTGGGAGGAGAAAGATTTTGTTGTGAAGTTTTGGGGACTCAGGACCCAATGGGACTGTTGTGCCCCACGCATCTCTGGTGACAGGGGGAGGGGAAGGGGCAGAGCCAGGTCTGGGTGGGCCAGAGGGAAAACAAGCTGGATGGCCAGGGTGTGGTTTCTTGAACTTGAAGATGTCAAGATCATAATCTAACAGGTGACCTGCATGTGAGGAGGCCTGGGTTAATGTCGCTTCTGCAGCACCTTTTATTCTGCTCTGTATGTTGCCGTAGTTTAGTCACTAAGTCGTGTCCGATTCTTTGCAACCCCGTGGACTGCAGCCCTGCCCTGTTTATCTGGGCTCAATACTGGAAGTGTCCTGGTTTCGATCAAATAGCCAAGCACATTTTCAGAAAAGGTCTGTTTCTGTTTTTCCTAGCATGGTCATGCTGTTTTTTGTTTTACCCTGCCTCGAAAACTAGCAAAATGCCATGGCACTAATACTGTGATGCGGTGACAACTGCGACTACCCTCTGTAAGGTCAACTTCTAAATCAGGTGTATTTTCTAACCTAATGCCTTCAGTATGGATTGTACCGCTTGCTCACAAGGTCATATTGCCTGGGATCTCTGTTCTGAAAAATTTGCAGCAGACTTTACCCCAGAGCGTCCTGGTGTGACTCCCCGAGTCCTGCCTGCATCACTGCGGTGGGGGGGGGGGGTGAGTCCACCAGCTGCCCAAGGCCCAGTGAGAGCCCTCCTCCAGAGGCCCACTGCCGCCTCCTTGCTTTTAGGCCGCCTCCTCCAAGCAGTTTTCCAGAGTCAACCCTGGCCTTCCCCCCTTGGGATTATGCTTCATAAAATTATACCCTGATGGAAAATCCATTGTTCCCCATCCCTACCCCTGCTATTATCATGTACAACAGAAAACATCTTGCAGTTTATACATTTGCAAAAGATTGATGAGTACCGAAAACATCTCCTTTGATAAAACAAAAATTAATATAACATATTTGAAATAGTAAATCTACAGCAAATATGACAAGCTAAGAAAGGTAACATTCTGTTCGCATTTTAAAATGTACAAACAGAATGATCTTGGTCGTGATTTTCCTTTAGCAAAATAGTCGTGAGTTTTGCAGCTTACATTTTTTGTTTTAGCTGCTTGACTATTTAGCTTGTTGAGCGTTCAGATAGCTCCCACAGAAATCTTAGTGGCCAGTGCTGTTATTGTCTCCATTTTACAGATAGGGAAACTAAGATTCAGGTGAAGTTAACTAGGTCATGGCCATAAACAAGTGAGTGGAGGATAGAATTCAAACCCATAATCTTAACAAGTCTATCCCATGCCTCTTTGATGAGTAATGGCAATTCTGTTAGATGTTTCTTCACATATTTATTTAAATTAATTTTAAGGAAAGAAAATTCTGCTGCAGTTACAGTCAAAAAATAAAGTAAAAAATCACATTCAAGATAAATTCACGTATGTTGTCACTTGTTAAATCACAAATTGACAGCATCGTTTAAAAATACTGTTTAAATTGATAACTTATAAGGGTAGCCTAACAACTGATGTAAACAAGTGTTGAAAAGACTTACATATTTACATAAATAATAATTTATATTTATTTCATGATATTTAATATTGTTATAAAGGTAGCATTATAATAATTTAATATGTAAGTATTTTTAAATGTGGATCTTGATAATATTTCAGTCAAGAAAGTTTTTTAAAATGTGGCTTTTAAAATTGATTTCAGACAGTGGGGGGGATAAATCAGGAGCTTGGGATTAATTACAGACACTGCTGTATATAAGATAGATAACCAAAAAGGACCTACTGTATAGCACAGGGAACTCTACTCAATATTCTGTGATAACATATATGAGAAAAGAATGTATGTAAAAAGAATCTGAAAAAGAATGAATATATGTATATGTATAAATGTAAGTTTACATATAATATGTACTATATGTATAACTGAATCACTTGGCTGTACATCTGAAACTAACACACTATAAATCAACTATAATCCAATAATTTTTTTTGAAAATTGATTTCAACTGTCTTTGAGAAATGGGTGATGCTCTAGGTAGTAATCAGTTCAATTCAGTCACTCAGTTGTGTCCGACTCTTTGCAACCCCATGGACTGTAGCACACCAGGCCTCCCTGTCCATCACCGACTCTTGGAGTTTACTCAAACTCATGTCCGTCCATTCCTTTCAAAGAAAGCAGCCTCGCAGCCACTGCTGGGACCCGAGCAGATTCAGAACTCTGGGCTCTCAGGTGGGGCCGTCCCAGGGGACTTACCTGGGAGAGGCATGGGCAAGGGAGCTCTGCCAACTTCAATTTCCCGGACAATTGACTGGGTGCCACAGAGTATCTCAGCACATGTGTGGAGCCTTGGGAAAGCAGGTACCCATTCTGTTACTTCTCTTCTACCCTTGGGCTGCCCCTCTAGCTCAGTGGTTAAGTACCCACTTGCAATGCAGGGGCCGCAGGAGATGCGAGTTCCATCCCTGGGTCAGGAAGATCCCCTGGAGGATGGCATGGCAACCCACTCCAGTAGTCTTGCCTAGAAAACCCCATGGACATAGGAACCTGGTGGGCTACAGCCCATGGGGTCACAGAGTCAGATATGACTGACTAACACTTTCACTTTCACCATTACTTATGGAGTGAACTCAAATTTTTGGAGTGAACTGATTTTTTAATGGGTGAACTTTGAATATAACCATAAGCAGCCAATCTAGAATTGATGGTTCCGTGAAGCATCAGTGCATCACACGGTATAATATCTGTGTTTGGGTGGACTTGGGGTTCTGAAGTACAGTGCTTACCTGCTGTTTCCCATTTTCTCCTAGAACCCCCCTCTTCCTCCTGAGATCTACTTAGTAAGTACCAGTTCTCTAGTTCTGCATTCCCAGGATGCTCTCAACCTGGGGAGAAAGGAGGACAGATTGGAGTTTACTTTCCACTGCTGTGACAAGGACGTGGGGCAAGCAGGCGTGGGGGCGTGTCTCTGAGTACCAGAATTAGTCAGAGCAAGTAGATACTCCTGTTGAATACTTCTTCAGGCCGTGAAAATTAGCCTCCATCTGCTTGACATTGGAGGTGGGATGAGTTGATGTTAGAAGTACAGCCCCAGCCCCATATGTGTTTCTATATTTGCTCTTCTCAACGACATTGAGAGAGTCGGCGCCCCCATTTTACAGAGGAGGAGACTGAGAACTAAAGAGATTAAGCAAGTTACCTAATAAAGTAGTTCTGCTAATAAAGGCTGAAATCAGAATTCAGATTTTATTCTGTAATTCATTCATGCTTTTTAAAAATGGTTTTTTATTATTAAATGTTGGGTATATATAAAAGAATATTTAGGGATTTCCCTGGCGGTCCAGTGGTTGAAACTTCACCTTCCAATAGAGGGGGGCACAGGTATGATCCCTTGTCAGAGAGCCAAGATCCCACCATGCCTTGTGGCTCAAAAAGCAAAACAACACAAAACAAAACAGAAAACAGAAACAACATGGTAACAGATTCAATAAAGACCTTAAAAATCGCCCACATCAAAAAATATTTTAAAAATTAAAAAAAATTTTTCTAAGTATATGTGTCAGGTATAAAGGATAGTGTATAGTAGGCACTCTTGCATGTCTCCAATGCACAATTTAAGAAAGATGGCCCCTGTGTGTACCTCCCCACCTTATTTCACCCTGTTCATGGACCCTCCATGATGACCACTCTTTTGAGTTTTACATTTATCACTCCATTGCTTTTCTAAAACTCTGAACCATGTATTGTTTAAGTTTGCATGCTTTTGTATGTCTTGAATCATACTGCTCAGTTTTCCCTTAAAGCACGCTTTGTAGCTCCGTACTAGCAAACACTGGACAGCATTTGGCTGGTTTCACTTGGATTGATCAGGTCTTCACACTGATTGACCAGTGCCCTTTAGATATGTGAATATTGTTCTTGGGAACCTGTTTATGAATCAGTTTCACTGCCATATTCAGTGGTATGGGTGTATTGCACTTCCTATCAGTTTTGATGGGTGAGTGTTTTTTTCCTTATGTTTTTGCTATTAAAAACACTGCTTGTCTCCCGGTGCATATGTGCAGGGGTTTCTAGAGTGTGCATTTAGGAGGGGTTTGGTGGGTACAAGGGGTTTCTAGAGCGTGCATTTAGGAGGGGTTTGCTGGGAACCAGGGGTTTCTAGAGTGTGCATTTAGGAAGGGTTTATTGGGTACCAGGGGTTTCTAGAGTGTGCATTTAGGAGGGGTTTGCTGGGTACCAGGGTATGTGAATGCCTTGCATTACCAGATGACACCAGTATTTTCTAAAGCATCAGCATGAGTGTACCTGGCCTCCTGCAGGAAGTACACGTTTCTGCTGGTACACACCCTTTTTATTCCTTGATACAGTGTGGCTTCTTAGTTTGCCAGTTTAGAACACGTGACAATATTTTCTTCTATTTTAATTTGCATTTTGGTGATTATCATGAGATTGAACCTCTCTCTCTTCATGTGCTTACTGGCCATTGGTGTTTCTTCTTCTGTGGAGTGCCTGGCTGTGCCTGCTTTTGCTTAAATTTTTCTTTTGTGTTGTCTTTTTCTTACTGATTTGTAGAATATTTATATATAATATATAAAATGTGAATAAAATAGAAATAAAATATACATATATTTATTTAATACATAAAAACTATTTAAAGTATTTACTAATCCTTTGCCAGTTATCATCAGTTCAGTCGCTCAGTCGTTTCCGACTCTGTGATCCCATGGGCTGCAGCACACAAGGCTTCCCTGTCCATCACCAGCTCCTGGAGCTTGCTCACATTCATCTCCATTGAGCCAGTGATGCCATCCAACCATCTCATCTTCTGCCATCCCCTTCTCCTCCTGCCTTCAATCTTTCCCGGCATCAGGGGCTTTTCCAATGAGTGAGTCAGTTATTCGCATCATGTGGCCAAAGTATTGGAGCTTCAGCTTCAGCATCAGTCCTT